GAATCAGCTCATGCGGATCCCAGGAACTAGGAGCGGGAATTAAGCAAACCTCCCATGAGCTGAATAGGGAGGCTCTGCAGCAAGAATGTATCCAGTACAGAAACAAGGCAAGACTAGGATAGTCACCAAACATGGAAACAAGACAGAACTAATAGAACCCAGAACCGGAGAAGGATAGGAAGCTAAACCCAGAACATGTACACAAGACATGAGGGAAACATGAACATAACATGGGCCTGACTGGACAGGACTGTACATGGACTGTACATGGACTGTACATGGACTGGGTATACAAACTAAAACAAGACAAGATAAGATAGGCAAAACAAGAGGAGACATAACTAAGCACTATATGTGAAAATCATGGGGATTTAGTCACATTATATGATCATACATTGCATAAGCCTGCCACAACGCCAATGTACCCCATATCTGGCAGCTCCTACACTGCTTAATGCAAGCTAAACCATCCAAAGAAAACACACATAGCACTTACCTGAAAGAAAGGGCAGACGACTTGAGCAGCTGCCTGCAGGACACTGAAACAAACGAAATCATGGAAAACAAACGGGTGTGGCAACATAAAACAAACATTTAAAGGAACCCTGGAGACTGGGAATTCCAGGGACGGAATAAAAGGAATGAACCCAGAAAAACCCAGCTTAAAGAAAACCAGACATAGGATAGAAAACCAAAAAACCAAGGAAAACTAAACAAGAATTGTAAAAAGAGTACTGGTTACCAGAAGCCAAGGCCAGACATCTCCACAGAGCAGGATGTGACACCATCCTGTTGGTTATCCGAGAACGTGTTCCTGATTCTGTTTATTGGTTGTTGATCTTGGCTTGACTTCCTGTATTTCTGGTATCCCTGACCCTTTGGCTTTGTTATTTCCATATTTGTTCCTTTCTGTATTCCTGAACTCGGCTCATGACTGGTTATTCTCTTACGTTAAATCTAAGGCCCGGTAATACGTTGTTGGGCCATTGGTTCGTCCTGACAGACTGATCACAGTGGTCTTCAAAGCATGGCTGCTAATGAGTGGGTGGGGTTTAGAGGGGAGACAATGGCATGTGTCTCCCTTTTATTATAACAGAGACCTAGTTATCTGCCTACCTGCTGACATAGCTTGGCGTCAAGGTAGAGACAGCCCCCACATATGATTTTTAACTCCCTTCTGCTGCTTGTTTTAGGACAGATAGGACCCCCCCCACCCCCATTTTTATTTACAGGGCCTCATCTAATTGGATATAGCCATGCTCAACTGGGCTAATTTTATTATAGCTAGCTGACCTGTTCTTGCACCCCCATCCCACATTCCCCATTTTCATGCCCCATTGCAGGGGAAGTAGTATTAACAGTTGAGCACACACTGACCGCTCATGGTTTTGTAGATTCTCCCCTGCCAATGGCTTGTTGAACAGAAGCATAATGGAGGGTAGAATCCACCCTAGAGTTAAATGAGGAGGACAGACTGGTTACTAGACATTTAACCCGTGTGCTGTCAAGGTTTTTGTAAAACTATTTGCCACCTGGCCGATATTGCTGCCAAACACTAATTGTTCAGATTTGTAAAATTTAGGTCAGGATTTTTACAATTCGATCGCAGATATTTAGAATTCATGTTTTCAATTTCTGCCATTTAAGACAGGCCTAATCCAGTGGATAATAATGTATATTTGGTCTATTCTGTTGCTGGTTTGCAAAATCCTGACATTGGTAAATCTTGAGAACAGTCTCCAGGTTTTACAGTCCGAATGCGTCCAAGTTGATCTGGATTCATTGCAGTCATTTGGACGGGGGGGGCGCTAGGACTTTGGTAAATAAACCCCAGTGGACTAGAGTATCATAGCTCCTTCTATTTTAGTACATGTAGTGGATAAAGCCCAACAAACCTACAAAATGTTTAATCTCATATTTGTGTTGTTGTTTTTTTTCTATAGTGTTTATGTTATTTTACATTGACATTCCATTGAATTTAAATAACTATTTAAGTGTTGATTAGAAAATTCATTATAGACCAATGGCCAGGGCTGGCTTTAATATTGATTCTACCCTGTGTAAGCATTTGTTTGGGCCCCATGGACCACACTGTCCCACTATGTTTCATGACTGTGTGTCTATGATGATTGTTTTCAGTGGGTGACTGAGTCAGGGTGGATAAAGAGATAACTGTGTGAAGGTGATTGTGACAGGGCCAGAGGGGTTATTGACACAGGATTGGGCGGTAAGTGTGACACGATTATGGGGGTTAATGCGACAATATTGTGTGGAATGGTTGGGGTGAATGTTGCACAGCTGGAGGAGGGAGTGTGACAGGTAGAGGGGAGATGAGCGTGATATGATTAGGGGACTTTTATGCAACAAGGTCAGTGTGAAATGGTTGACGGGAGGAGAGGGGGTGAGTATGACCAAATTGGAAGGATTAATGTGATAGGGTGAGTGTGACATTGCGAGAGTAGGTGGAGTGTGTCAGAGCGATGAGAGGTGAGTGTGGTGTGAGTGTGACAGGATTGGGGGAGTTAATGTTAATGTGAGTGTGGCAGGGTGATGGGGTGACAGTGTGTGTGTATACACTGACACACATGCAGATACACACTGACACACATACAGATACACACACTGACATACATGCAGATACACACAATAACACATATCCAGATATATGCATGGACAGACATGCAGATACACAAACACACTAACACACATACAGATACACAGACCCACAGATACACATACTGACACACCTTCAGATACACAGACACACAGTGACACACATTCAGATAAACAGAATGACGCTCATACAGATACAAACTTTGACATACAAAATGCACACACTGACACACATGCAGACAAACAGGTACACATACAGATACGCTTACATATAAACATTTAGACACACAGATACACATACAGACACACAGATACACATACAAACATATATATAGACAGATACACATACAGACACACAGATAAATACACAGACATACAGATACACATACAGACACACAGATAAATACACAGACAAACAGAGAGACATACAGACACACAGATACACATACACACAGTTACATACAAAAAGACACATATGGAAAATGTACATTTCAACCACACTCCTGTTTCCTACCTTATAGGTGCAGGAGGATGGTTTCCCTCCAGTGGTTTGTTGAGGCTCTTGGGAATCAGAGTCTTTTACACTCTGCCTCCTGTATTCCTGCTTCCAGCGGGCAGCGGGCCACATTTGTGGGCTCAAGAGGCAGCTGTTCTGGGTCCCACAGGAATAACTGGCAGCTGCCCCTTTTGAACCGTGTTAAAGATGGCCAGTGACATTTAAAGAACATTAATTAAAGCATTAATTATTGAACTGGAAGTTACATCATACCTGGCTAACAAACATTCTGTATTATAACTCCCTTCAATCGGAGCCAGACTTTGTCTTAGAATGATTGGGGTCACTGCAGCCCTTGTGGACTGTAACTTCAGTTATACTCTGCCACGATAGTAATTATGGTTAATTACAGTTTGTAACATCTTGAATTGGATTAGAGATC